AGAGGTTGTAGATATAATATGTCGATTATGTAGTAATTTCGATTGCTTGTTCGGCGAGCAGCGTAATCACTGTTGAGACCAATTAACGGTCTTGGTATACTGCGGTGTTTTGTCATGTTTCTATATAATTCAAATTAGTTCTCTTTTTACGTCCTTTTAATATTTTTCGTTTTGATTGAAGCCTCTTTTTTATACTGCTTTGAATTCGCTCTACAGTCCGCTCTTCATAGTTTGGAATTTACGATCTGCAAAACAAACAGATGTACAACACATAACGTGAAAATGATATGTAAGTACTGTTTTACGTCACAAGGTGTCCGTGAAAAAATGTCCACCGTCTGCTGGTAGTCGTTCATCACTTTGGACACGATGACAATGGTCACTTGTATCCACGTTTACGTCCAGCCTGGGGCGTATATTGACCATCAACAACGGAATATTGGTTGTTTACCTCCGGCGTAAACACGATTAGTACACTAAGTACGGTGCCTACACCTGGTTGAGAGGAAGCTCTTTAGAGTGGAACGACTTCTCTCTGTATTCGGCTTTCTGGCTCGGTTTGGAATTGTCGGAGTTGTTTAAATCGATAAAATTGCCAAGACTCTGAATCATCAACATTTAACGATAGCTATACACCTGAGTCCGGAACCAGTGTGCCGTTGAAGCCCCTCCCATAGCAAGCCCGTCACCAGAGTAGAGAGTGGATGAATGGAACCAGAATACACCTAAATTTCTCTGGGGAAGGGATATGACGAGCCGATGAACGCCCTCCTGGTGTATTATTACTGCTTCACCATCGTAACGACGTCGTTAGTGTCGTAACCGTCAAAACACGCCACACGTGTTGGTTTCCTTCCATAGTGAGCTGATGGTGATGGTGGACCCCTCTCAGGGGGAGGAGCGCGTTATCGATTCACTGCGCAGAGCGATTGGTAAGAATTAAAATTCTATTTGGAGAGCAATATTCACACTAGAGTCCTCCAGTAATCGAGCAGCAACATACACTGACAAAGGAGAAATCAAAAGTGTCGGATCCGCTCTCTCACAAAGAACCATCTCCCAGGATCGGTCGTCTACATAGCGTGCGTGTGATGACGAACTATCTGGTAAGTAATCATTGGTTTTCTTGTGCCTTGAAGTAGTGATAGAGAAATAAAGCAATATCGAATCAATGACAAAATTGTTACAAAAATCGATACGGAAATGTCGCTGAATGTTTTACATTTAAGTAACGATATAGACTTTTTTTCCACAGCCATAAGCTACATACTTGCTATGGCTCCATAATGTTCTTATGGCTGTTACTTTATGTAATACAATATTGTTGACTCAAAATACCCTTTCTTCTCAGATAGCGACATTACAGTTAATAACGTGACATTTCTTATAGCATGGTAACACTTTTTTTATGCTTACGTGACGGTTTTATTCATTCGTAACTTACAAGGAATCACCTAGCCGTTCGGGGTTCGATTCCCGGAACGGACGTGAAAAGGTATGAGTTCATCTCCGGGAATTCCGATTTTCTCCCACAATAACACCCTATGTGCGCGCTGTCGTCCAGGCCAACAAGAATTATTACTTTAAGTTGAAATAATTTGTTTCGCCATTGTTGTAAAATAAGTAAAATTTATATATTTATTTGTAAGAAATCGAAAGATTAAAACTTCATATGATTACATCCGTGTTTGTACTACCACTGAAGTTGACAATTCTCAGTGTTGTGGTTTATAGATAACAAAAAATGTTGATAATTTTGTTCTTTTCAAAATTGACATATGGTTGGGTCAAATGGATTGATTAAGAGGTAAACCTATATAAATTCTCTCCAGTGATGGCTACTGGAGTAGAACGATACCGATCTGTATAACTAGAAGATGACGGAAATCATTCGATGAAAAAATAAAAAAATAAATGTATGCAATACAATCAAGGAATTAACTCACAACTTACATCGTATAATACATAAACACACCGTCATTCACGCCCTTTTACACAGACACAGGTATGGACTACATCTACACTATCATTAATGATAATATTTGTACTATAGTGTACAGGAAATAGTGACAGTTAATGATATATTTTAGTTCCGAACCATAATAAGAAATTATACATGCAGAACAACATAAACATATACATTCGAAACTCGTTATCTCGAAATTCAAGGGACCGTGAAAATAGTTCGACTTATCCGAAGTTCGACTCAAACGAAGTGTATAAATAAGATTGACGATATCAGTTTCCTGAACGAAGTAGTGCTACGATAGCACGCTAGTAGCGTAGTTTAATCTGTTATTTGAAATGGCAGTAAATAAATAAATAAATTTGATAATACTCTCTCCTTTCATTGTTTATTCATCCAAACAACAAACCATGTAATAACGAATCCAATCAAATGCATTTGTACTCACGCCGTTCCGTCCAGCACCCGTGTACAATACCCTTACTGACCAAGCACATATACATAATATATTTTACGGAATGACAATAAAACGAAATTAAAATTTGCTTTTGATACGCTGTACTTTGAGAGTAAATTTATATATAACTGAGAGATCCAGGTATACATTACAATTTAATTTAGTTCAAGGTTTATCCTTCTTTTATAATTAAAGAGTGTCTATTCGTACCAGAGAAGAATTTTAAAACCTAATAAACTAAACTCCTCCTATGGAACTACTCCTTGGCCATCATATTCATGTTTACATAATATATTTAACCATTCTATGGTCGTCGTGAGACCGTATCTATTGTCAATATGAATGCAATCTGTTTGAGAGATAAATAACCTGTTGTCAGTTAAGAAGACTCCATTATTCATTCTTATTGACAATACTTTAAATGTATTATATTTCTAAATATTATCATTTCTAAAGAATCCCTAGTCTGTATATAGAATAACTTCTTGAAAACATTAACCGTCCGAATGATGTACGTGAAGATGTGATGTGTGTTTTCTCGGGTAACGTGCAAATCGTTTGCGTAACGAAGGTGGACATAGCGTTAAATGAGGTCACATTATTGTCATACGATCTAAATAATGTATCTGCACTCATGTGAAAACAATACAGATTAACGCCAATTAAAGGCAGGCCATAATTTGAAATGTAAATACAGAATATGATTATCAAAGTTATCTTTAAAAATCCGAAGGCAAAACACACGAAGAAAATGTTCACATGGAGACGCCTGAAAAAGAACAAAGATAATAAGACCAGATGTTCCGGCAGAGTAAGCGTCTACTGCTTCATCAGACAAATCATCGAACATTAAAAACATCTCACATGGCACAAGTAAAAATAATATTTCCCAATAGGAGCATTAAGAATTAAGACGACCATTAAACTGATCCAATGATTTTTGTCAACTTGCATCTCCAAAAACACTCTTAACCAAGTAAATGGTTTTAGGAGATGGCGTTCTAGATAAGACAAAAGCTCTTGGGACTAGTTTGAATTAATTCCACTTCTCGATCTGATAATACTAAGAATGGTTGTGAGAAGTTTTGTCAGAGGTTTGGTGGAACAAGTAGACGAAACTGCTGTAAAACTTGTTGATACGGATGTAATACAAACGAGGGAAGTCTGTATCCTTACTCTTTATTCGAAATATACATATTGTAATACTGAAACATGATTAGTCTTTACTTCTAACCATAGAGCGGGTGATGTTCCATTTCATGGAATTTGATAAAACGTGCATTGTTATTATCTCAAAAGTGTATATATGCATCTATGAGTCATTTGTAGTATGAATGCCACTATCGTAACACCCTATTACCTCATCCCAACCCCAACCATACTCGTTATTGTAAACAATACATAACACTCTAACACCACAAACGAATATTTGTAACCTCGTTCACGATTATAACCTCACCCACAGTTGTAACAGCACCTAGTTATAACCTCATTCACTGCGGTAACACAACCTCCTGTGATAACATCATTCACTGCTGTAACAACATCTACTGTTATAACCTCACACACTGTTGTAACACCACCTACTGTTATAACATCACCCACTGTATAACACCACCTACTGTTATAACATCACCCACTGCTATAACACCACCTACTGTTATAACCTCACACACAGTTGTAACACCACCTACTGTTATAACCTCACTCACTGTTGTAACACCATCTACTGTTATAACCTAACACACTGTTGTAACATCTACTGTTATAACCTCACACACTGTTGTAACACCACCTACTGTTATAACATCACCCACTGCTATAACACCACCTACTGTTATAACCTCACACACTGTTGTAACACCACCTACTGTTATAACATCACCCACTGCTATAACACCACCTACTGTTATAACCTCACACACAGTTGTAACACCACCTACTGTTATAACCTCACTCACTGTTGTAACACCATCTACTGTTATAACCTAACACACTGTTGTAACATCTACTGTTATAACCTCACACACTGTTGTAACACCACCTACTGTTATAACCTCACCCACTGTTGTAACATCTACTGTTATAACCTCACACACTGTTGTAACACCACCTACTGTTATAACCTCACCCACTGTTGTAACAGCATCTACTGTTATAACCTCACACACTGCTGTAACACCACCTACTGTTATAACCTCACACACTGCTGTAACATCACCTACTGTTATAACCTCACACACTGTTGTAACACCACCTACTGTTATAACCTCACACACTGTTGTAACACCACCTACTGTTATAACCACACCCACAGTTGTAACACCTCCTACTGTTATAACCTCACACACTGTTGTAACACCGCCTACTGTTATAACCTCACACACTGCTGTAACACCACCTACTGTTATAACCTAACCCACTACTATAACGCCATCTACTGTTATAACTTCACCCACTGCTGTAGCAGCACCAACTGTTATAACATCACCCACTGCTGTAACATCACCTTTGTTTTGATCTAAACCTGATCGTCATGTTACAGATCATCTGACCACTGTATCCGCCATGAAGAGTTGCCGGAAACTCACAATGTCCTCAGCAAGGCTCTGGTACTTGTAAGTATTTATCTTGTGTATCTGTTTACATCTACTACAGGCAATGAAGAAATCATAGATACTGGCCTGTTAATACACACATGTACAGTAATACTGAAGATTTAGAACTTCATTGGCTTTCATTGGATTTCGCTGCCATATGAGTGTCCGACTATCCGAAGTTTGACAATTTATCGATGTTTGTTGAAGTCTGGTGGACAATATTAGGTCATATGATATAGTGAATCATATACTAAATTAAAGCTAATTTATCTGTCTGTCGATTCAGATCACTCTCAACGAGACATCTTGTACAATTTTGTGACAATCACAAGTTTCCCAAAATGAATTCATTTCACTAAGCCAAAGATTTAGTTCAACTTGCTGATGGAATGAGTGTATTGACAGACGAGGTTAGTAGTTATGAATAAATGAAAGACGTCCTGTAATGATGTATAGTACTCTATCGTCTAACGAGTGTGTAGTAGATCGTACTGTCGATATCATCTGTAACACCTAAGTATATGACTAAAAGCAGGATATCTGAAAATCAGAAAGAATTCGCATGACAAAAATACATCCACTATGGTATAAGTGCTGCTATTGAAATGTGGTACAGCCTGACAGACAGACTGTAATTGACTATGGTAATATGATTTATACTGTGTAAACGTAGACAACATATATATTCTAAAGACGAGTTCATTGCTTGTAAGTGTTTACTCTCATGTTTTTGGTCCATACAGAGTATGTGTTGCCATCTGCACAAGCGTTTTCCTGTTCCTTGCATTGTCCATGGAGGGATCTATAAAACAGCAACAGGTCCTTGACAACTCGTCTTCAGGCTCATCATTCCGATCCTATCCATTAAACTTCAGTGGTGAATCTCGGGACAGTACTCATTCCACGACAGCTATTGATAAAGAATATCTACATCAATATAACCCTCATCGGAAAAAAACCAACGCAGTGTTTCTGAAAGTGCACAAAGCCGGAAGTACTACAGTTATGAATATATTCCTACGCTTCGGAATGGCAAATAAATTGAATATAGTCCTACCCAATAAAGAGGACGGATACGGCTTTAATTATCTCGGACATGGGAAGACAGTGGACAAAAATACTGTTGTGCCTATCCCCCATAACGAAACATACAACATTCTTTGTAATCACGTCGTCTACAATCGCCAGGCGTTCCGCGATATCATGCCAAATGATACCGTTTATGTGGGGATAATTCGGGAGCCCCAATCACACTTCCTGTCTGCCTCATTCTACTATCGCTTTATTGACAGTATACAAAAAGTGTCCGGTTTGTCCAACCGATCAGCGCCAGCTGAGGCGATACATCAATACTTCTCGCACCAAGACAGATATCATCATATACGGACGCTGTTCGTGAGGAATAGAATGTCCTACGATTTTGGTCTCCCTCCGTCCCGTTTTCACGACAACGTTTCTGTAGAAAATTTCATCGCTGATGTAGCTGGTGACTTCAAGTTAGTGATGGTAATGGAATATTTTGCCGAGTCCCTTGTTCTCTTGAAGCGGTATCTGGGATGGGGATTGGACGATATTCTGTACGTCCCCTTAAATATCAACAACAGCAAATCCAAAAAACACGTCAGTCTGCTTCCAGCCGACGTGACCAAACTTAAACAATGGAACTATGCGGATTTCCGGCTGTACGATTTTTTCAAAACACGATTTCTAGCTCAGGTAGAAGCAGAAGGTGTTCTGTTTCATAAAGAAGTTAAACATTTTAAAACTGTTCAACTTCATGTGCAAAACTTCTGTTCTGATTTACGTGACCGAAGATATTTGACAATACATGCTTCTCCATGGAATGAAAAATTTAACATTACGCCAGATCACTGCAAGATAATGACAATGTCGGAAATCCCATTAGTTAAAATGCTAATACGCCGTGCAAAGCATAAATACCAGAAATACGAAGATGTCACTCCCAAAGATGTATTGAGTGGGACAAGACGTAACATCAATACTAATCAACACACATATCATACAAGATACAGAACTGAAAATGAAAAGCATACGCGTAACATACAAAAAATAAACAGAGCGACACTACAGAAAATAATAAACATAAATAAGATACTCAAAGCTAAGAATTACAACAGAAAACAAAACACAGACACAAACACGCTGTTAAATAAAGGATTTACACACCATTTCTAACAATATATACTTACATTAAAGAGATTATACAATTGCTGAACCGTTGTGTTCCATTTGATTATTTATTGTCATAATTATACCACATGGTATATATCGGAACATTTTTTTCGTCAAGATAATGACAAAATGTTCTTAGATCTTAACAAGTTAGAAAGTTTCGATGACAACACTGTCACCTTCATAAGACAAATATCTAGTGCGGAAGTATACAGTGTACGACATAGAAGTGGCGATGGAGCACGTCCGACATAGAAATAACATCGATATTTGTCTTCAGATTCCGAATCTTGTGATAAGACTAGATGTTACTAATATGTAGTGTTTCCTGTGTTCATAAAAGTTCTTGACGCCCTGTTTGGCAGCATCAGTATACAAATAAAAACTGTTTTCTGATAAATGTTTACCCTGCCACAAATGGCAGGCATTTTAATGTATATACGGAATAGTTATTAAACTTGTCTCCGTTTCTCTTGTACCATTAGCTAGCATAAAATTCAGCGATTAACGTTACTTGCAAACCAAACCGAACCGAATCAAAGAAATTTATATATATTCCTTATCAAACCAAAACAGAACCCGAGGACAGAACCCTTTACTACCGAGAACTGTATATATACTCCTTATCAAACCAAAACAGAACTCGAGGACAGAACCCTTAACTATCCGAGGACTTTATATATACTCCTAACCAAATCAAAACAGAACTCGAGAACAGAACCCTTTACTACCCGAGAACTTTATATATACTCCTTATCAAACCAAAACAGAACCCGAGGAAAGAACACTTTACTATCCGAGGACTTTATATATACTCCTAACCAAATCAAAACAGAACTCGAGAACAGAACCCTTTACGACCCGAGGACTTTATATATACTCCTAACCAAATCAAAACAGAACTCGAGAACAGAACCCCTTACTATCCGAGGACTTTATATATACTCAGAACTAACCAAATATATAAACAGAAATCAAAACAGAACTCGACAGAACCCTTTACTACCCGAGGACTTTATATATACTCCTAACCAAATCAAAACAGAACTCGAGAACAGAACCCTTTACTACCCGAGGACTTTATATATACTCCTAACCAAATCAAAACAGAACTCGAGAACAGAACCCTTTACGACCCGAGAACTTTATATATACTCCTAACCAAATCAAAACAGAACTCGAGGACAGAACCCCTTACTATCCGAGGACTATATATATACTCAGAACCCCTTGCTATCACACAGCTTACTTTAAGCAATAAACTGATTTTCGTTAGCAAAAGGCGTCTTTTTCCTGACTTATGTATAACTTGGAGATAGATAAAAATCTTCATATTTTAGGCATTGAGCAATATCAAAATTTTGTAACACCGAATTGTATAGAGGTAGTGCTCTCACCTGTGATAGAAATTTCGTGGCAGCTATAACACATGAAGCAGAATCCACCACCGTCCCTGTCCCCCTCCTAGTCTCCGACCCCCATAACCTCAACCCTCCTGCTACTACACTACACCTCATGGGAAACCTTTTAGGTGTATTCAACGCGCATTATTCTTCTTTCCGTACTTTGGTCGCTTTCCGCTCGGTTCTGAGGTTATGAACAGTGGATGAGGATGTAGATAGAATACATTAAGTTTCCGTTGTGTATAGAATATGAATGGTATACAGGAAAGTCTTAAATTGTCCATATGGTGAATATAACCGGAGTAAATTTGAGGTGGAGGCACCTTGTAGCAGCAGGTGAAGATTACGAGCCAATTTAATGGGGGAGGGGGGGGGGGGAATCCGTCCATGCTTGGGGGTGACGGCTGTTGTCTGGAGATGTCCACTAGGACATTTTCTTTTTGTGTGTATCAGTATAAGTAGTTCATCCATAAGTAACAAATCTAAAGTTAAATATATGAATAACGAGGTGACAATCACCGGACCAGGGTCACTGTAGATTGCTTCTGAGGAAGAATAATGTGGTGAAAATTACCGGACCAGGGTCACTGTAGACTGGCTATGAGGAAGAGTAACGTGGTGACAATCACCGGATCAGTGTCCCTGTAGATTGGTTCTGAGGAAGAGTAACGAGGTGAAAACCACCGGATCAGTGTCCCAGAAGACTTGCTCTGAGGAAGGGTAACGAGGTAAGAATCACCGGATAAATGTCCCTGTAGACTGGCTATGAGGAAGAGTAACGAGGTGACAATCACCGGATCAGTGTCCCTGTAGACTGGCCCTGAGGAAGAGTAACGAGGTGACAATCACCGAATCAGGGTACCTGTAGACTGGCCCTGAGGAAGATCAGATCCCAATACATACAACTGACGAAAGAGAAAATAAAGGTTAACGAATTAAGTACACTGAAACTGTCTTTCTAGAGAACTATTATAGTTTATACTTTTACACAAATGTCTCTTTGTTTGCTGGGCCTATCACTGCGTGAGGGTAATTATAAGAGGCATATATCTTGTAGTAGATGGGGCTACCTAACCGAACAACGGACGAGGGTGCTCTATCGCATGGCATACAGAACAAGTATGGTATACCACATCAGCGATGACCGGTCCGGAAAATTTTCTAACATAAATGAAAAGATTATGAATTAATGTTTTTTAAGCAGATTAGGGAACGTGAAATAGTATCAATTAGTGAATTGGTCAGTGTAAAATTTATCTAAACACATAAACATTTGACAAGCTCCTTTTAAAAGGGAGCGGGTGATGTTCCATTTCATGCAATTTGATAAAACGTGCATTGTTATTTCAAAAGTGTATATATGCATCTATTTGAGTCATTTGTAGTATGAATGCCACTATCGTAACACCCTATTACCTCAACCCAACCCCAACCATACTCGTTATTTATAAACAATACATAACACTCTAACACCACAAACGAACATTTGTAACCTCGTTCACGATTATAACCTCACCCACTTTTGTAACAGCACCTACTGTTATAACATCACCCACTGCTATAACACCACCTACTGTTATAACCTCACACACTGTTGTAACACCACCTACTGTTATAACCTCACCCACTGCGGTAACACAACCTCCTGTGATAACATCACTCACTGCTGTAACAACATCTACTGTTATAACCTCACACACTTGTAACACCACCTACTGTTATAACATCACCCACTGCTATAACACCACCTACTGTTATAACCTCACACACAGTTGTAACACCACCTACTGTTATAAACTCACTCACTGTTGTAACACCATCTACTGTTATAACCTAACACACTGTTGTAACATCTACTGTTATAACCTCACTCACTGTTGTAACACCACCTACTGTTATAACCTCACACACTGTTGTAACACCACCTACTGTTATAACCTCACACACTGTTGTAACACCACCTACTGTTATAACCTCACACACTGTTCTAACACCACCAACTGGTATAACCTCAAACACTGTTGTAACACCACCTACTGTTATAACCTCACTCACTGATGTAACACCACCTACTGTTATAACCTCACACACTGCTGTAACACCACCTACTGTTATAACCTCACACACAGTTGTAACACCACCTACTGTTATAACCTCACACACTGCGGTAACACCACCTACTGTTATAACCTCACACACAGTTGTAACACCACCTACTGTTATAACCACACCCACTGTTGTAACACCACCTACTGTTATAACCTCACACACAGTTGTAACACCACCTACTGTTATAACCTCACACACTGTTGTAACAGTGCCTACTGTTATAACCTCACACACTGTTGTAACACCACCTACTGTTATAACCACACCCACTGTTGTAACACCACCTACTGTTATAACCTCATTCACTGTTGTTACAGTGCCTACTGTTATAACCTCACACACTGTTGTAACACCACCTACTGTTATAACCACACCCACAGTTGTAACACCTCCTACTGTTATAACCTCAAACACTGATGTAACACCACCTACTGTTATAACTTCACCCACTGCTGTAACAGCACCAACTGTTATAACATCACCCACTGCTGTAACATCACCTTTGTTTTGATCTAAACCTGATCGTCATGTTACAGATCATCTGACCACTGTATCCGCCATGAAGAGTTGCCGGAAACTCACAATGTCCTCAGCAAGGCTCTGGTACTTGTAAGTATTTATCTTGTGTATCTGTTTACATCTACTACAGGCAATGAAGAAATCATAGATACTGGCCTGTTAATACACACATGTACAGTAATACTGAAGATTTAGAACTTCATTGGCTTTCATTGGATTTCGCTGACATATGAGTGTCCGACTATCCGAAGTTTGACAATTTATCGATGTTTGTTGAAGTCTGGAAGACAATATTAGGTCATATTATATAGTGAATCATATACTAAATTAAAGCTAATTTATCTGTCTGTCGATTCAGATCACTCTCAACGAGACATCTTGTACAATTTTGTGACAATCACAAGTTTCCCAAAATGAATTCATTTCACTAAGCCAAAGATTTAGTTCAACTTGCTGATGGAATGAGTGTATTGACAGACGAGGTTAGTAGTTATGAATAAATGAAAGACGTCCTGTAATGATGTATAGTACTCTATCGTCTAACGAGTGTGTAGTAGATCGTACTGTCGATATCATCTGTAACACCTAAGTATATGACTAAAAGCAGGATATCTGAAAATCAGAAAGAATTCGCATGACAAAAATACATCCACTATGGTATAAGTGCTGCTATTGAAATGTGGTACAGCCTGACAGACAGACTGTAATTGACTATGGTAATATGATTTATACTGTGTAAACGTAGACAACATATATATTCTAAAGACGAGTTCATTGCTTGTAAGTGTTTACTCTCATGTTTTTGGTCCATACAGAGTATGTGTTGCCATCTGCACAAGCGTTTTCCTGTTCCTTGCATTGTCCATGGAGGGATCTATAAAACAGCAACAGGTCCTTGACAACTCGTCTTCAGGCTCATCATTCCGATCCTATCCATTAAACTTCAGTGGTGAATCTCTGGACAGTACTCATTCCACGACAGCTATTGATGAAGAATATCTACATCAATATAACCCTCATCGGAAAAAAACCAACGCAGTGTTTCTGAAAGTGCACAAAGCCGGAAGTACTACAGTTATGAATATATTCCTACGCTTCGGAATGGCAAATAAATTGAATATAGTCCTACCCAATAAAGAGGATGGATACGGCTTTAATTATCTCGGACATGGGAAGACAGTGGACAAAAATACTGTTGTGCCTATCCCCCATAACGAAACATACAACATTCTTTGTAATCACGTCGTCTACAATCGCCAGGCGTTCCGCGATATCATGCCAAATGATACCGTTTATGTCGGGATAATTCGGGAGCCCCAATCACACTTCCTGTCTGCCTCATTCTACTATCGCTTTATTGACAGTATACAAAAAGTGTCCGGTTTGTCCAACCGATCAGCGCCAGCTGAGGCGATACATCAATACTTCTCGCACCAAGACAGATATCATCATATACGGACGCTGTTCGTGAGGAATAGAATGTCCTACGATTTTGGTCTCCCTCCGTCCCGTTTTCACGACAACGTTTCTGTAGAAAATTTCATCGCTGATGTAGCTGGTGACTTCAAGTTAGTGATGGTAATGGAATATTTTGCCGAGTCCCTTGTTCTCTTGAAGCGGTATTTGGGATGGGGATTGGACGATATTCTGTACGTCCCCTTAAATATCAACAACAGCAAATCCAAAAAACACGTCAGTCTGCTTCCAGCCGACGTGACCAAACTTAAACAATGGAACTATGCGGATTTCCGGCTGTACGATTTTTTCAAAACACGATTTCTAGCTCAGGTAGAAGCAGAAGATGTTCTGTTTCATAAAGAAGTTAAACATTTTAAAACTGTTCAACTTCATGTGCAAAACTTCTGTTCTGATTTACGTGACCGAAGATATTTGACAATACATGCTTCTCCATGGAATGAAAAATTTAACATTACGCCAGATCACTGCAAGATAATGACAATGTCGGAAATCCCATTAGTTAAAATGCTAATACGCCGTGCAAAGCATAAATACCAGAAATACGAAGATGTCACTCCCAAAGATGTATTGAGTGGGACAAGACGTAACATCAATACTAATCAACACACATATCATACAAGATACAGAACTGAAAATGAAAAACATATGCGTAACATACAAAAAATAAACAGAGCGACACTACAGCAAATAATAAACATAAATAAGATACTCAAAGCTAAGAATTACAACAGAAAACAAAACACAGACACAAACACGCTGTTAAATAAAGGATTTACACACCATTTCTAACAATATATACTTACATTAAAGAGATTATACAATTGCTGAACCGTTGTGTTCCATTTGATTATTTATTGTCATAATTATACGACATGGTATATATCGGAACATTATTTTCGTCAAGATAATGACAAAATGTTCTTAGATCTTAACAAGTTAGAAAGTCACCTTCATAAGACAAATATCTAGTGCGGAAGTATATAGTGTACGACATAGAGGTGGCGATGGAGCACGTCCGACATAGAAATAACATCGATATTTGTCTTCAGATTCCGAATCTTGTGTTAAGACTAGATGTTACTAATATGTAGTGTTTCCTGTGTTTATAAAAGTTCTTGACGCCCTGTTTGGCAGCATCAGTATACAAGTAAAAACAGTTTTCTGATAAATGTTTACCCTGCCACAAATGGCAGGCATTTTAATGTATATACGGAATAGTTATTAAACTTGTCTCCGTTTCTCTTGTACCATTAGCTAGCATAAAATTCAGCGATTAACGTTACTTGCAAACCAAACCGAACCGAATCAAAGAAATTTATATATACTCCTTATCAAACCAAAACAGAACCCGAGCACAGAACCCTTATCTATCCAAGGACTTTATATATACTCCTAACCAAATCAAAACAGAAATCGAGAACAGAACCCTTTACTACCCGAGAACTTTATATATACTCCTAACCAAATCAAAACAGAACTCGAGAACAGAACCCTTTACTACCCGAGGACTTTATATATACTCCTTATTAAACCAAAACATAACCCGAGGACAGAACCCTTTACTACCGAGAACTGCATATATACTCCTTATCAAACCAAAACAGAACCCGGGGATGGGGCCTGTATTTTGTGGTACTCTAAGATTCTTGGTATTGGTATGATACTTTAGCCAGAGTAGGTTGGTGGTGAAGATAAGGTCTAGTTACTTACTCTAGTTGTGTCCTCGTGCAGTTGTGTAAGGCCTATATGTGATATCAATTAGTTTCCTTTCTACCTCTTTGTGCTTCTTGTTACATTGTCAGTAATTCTCGGTTTATCTTTGGACGGTTAAAGTCACCGGCTGGTTTAATGTTACTGTTTCCTTCCTTCCTTCAATTTCCTCCATGGTCTTCAGGACTCTGTGCAGCATGTAGAATGCACCAAGATTTTGACCCCTTCCATTTCACCTTTGGTTACATATTTGCTTGTTCAGTTGCTATGATATTTTTGTTACCAATACAAAGTCGCCTCCTCCTAGTGGTCCTTTGTCGTTCCTGAATGCAGTATAGCCGTCTGGGAATACGTCTGATGATTTGATTGCATCTTTAGCTGCGGTTTTTCCAGGTTTTATCCCTTTTAGTTATGGTTCTGTACGTATTATTACATCCGGTTAAGTGTTGTTTAATGTCTTTTTAAATTTCTCTCTCTCTCTCTCTCTCTCTCTCTCTCTCTCTCTCTCTCTCTCTCTTAAACGGATGCAGTTGTCTGTCATTAATCTGAACTTTTGGAAGTAATTGAGGTGTTGGTATGGAATTGTCCCTACTTCTGTTTCTCCTATCACTTATGTGCTGTGTTTCATTGACTTCGGGCTCCTGTTTCACAGAAGACTAAACTGAACGAGTCCACCCAGCCATTGGATTGACGAACGGTGCAGGAGCTCAAAGTTCAACAAAGCCCGTCATTCTTCCACGTTACAAGGATTTCACAAACTGCATAGGAAAATACCTTTTTGGTAGAACAAGGGTTGAGTTCAACGTCTCCGGAGATTATCGTTATGAGGATGATGGTACTACGTTGTGCCTTGGATGCTGGTGACATTTGCAGGCTATGTAGACTTTCAGTGACTTATTGGTGGATCTATGGTTTCTGTTCTGTCAGGTTTTTTTTTTTTTTTTTTTTGATTGTCATCATTGGTATAGCGATAAGTATACCTATAGACATGACATGAAGTTGAAGTGCAGTTCGGTACGAAGGAATGGCTAATTTATATATAAAGTGCTGTACTGGCTGGCGGGCAACACGTTGGAAATATTGCGTGGTTGACGTGAGTTCAACGTCGAAATTGATTGAAATCTAGGCTACTGTAAACAAAAATCACGAATTTACCACTAACGTGTGTGTATCAAACGTGTCATGTATTTTGTTGTTTACATCATTTTATCAGTTTATTGACAAGAGTTCCAATATTGGGTATAAATTTACAACAGAGGTAAGTTAAATAATTAGATAGCCTTTATGTTCGGTTGGCAACAGTATTACTTAGGTACAGTACATGTATACTACGCTATAGCTGTAACGTCTCAACAGAGTTTAATATATCCCCGCTGAATGGTTAGTCAGGCTTTCTAGTTTCTCTTCTTTGAGACCTACATTGATAATCAGCGTACAGCCAATTTAGAAACATCATTGGAGAAGGTGACATTGTATAGATCATGATACCTACAAATGGAGACGACATCTGTGCACACTTACACTCTACTTATTTGATTCCTCTAGCTGCCATCTCAGGGTAAAAAAAACCCACCCGACAGTCCGTAAGATCATTGGTGTTTGTATTTTTGTTTCAATGAAGTATGGATTTTCCTGGCCACTGTAAACTAATGTAACGCGCTTGTAAATTAGTCCGATGTCAAAGTTCAGTGACTAACCAATTAGAACTGTTAGAGGTCATAGACGATCGGAGGCTTTAAAAGTGTGTAAACATCAACAATAACACACTGCTACGAATTTCATCACGTGGTAGATCAGTTGTGAAACAGACGTAATTATAGAATTAATCAATATCAAAGCTATTTATTAGAATTAGATGGCATATGCTAATAACATAAGTGATCAAAAAAGGAAATATAGAAAAATTATGAAATCTAAAACATGACGATATTACAACATTTGTCGTTTATTACTCCTCGATAAAGTTCTTGGCATTCATCCGATTATTTTTGTCTTTTAAAATATCCATCACAAACCGTTGGAGTCTCTCCTCTAGAATTCCATTCAAATCTGATATACATAGATTAAAACGTAAAGCATTCTTCACCACCAATGTATGTACCATTCATACTAGTGTCACTGTTAAATACAATCCTAGTACACTTGTACGGAACCCTCACATATCCCTGATCCAAACCCCTTGTTGAATACCGAGTGCAAATTCCCATGTCTGGTTATACTATAGAATAAATTCCCAGAATTCCGCACGATATTTAGAAAACGCGCGGTCAGTATTGATTTCTGTGATGCTAAAGATATTTGGACACTGGAGAAGTCCAGGATAACTTTGGTCTATCGTAGGAAGGGCCAAATGTAAGAATTGATGATATGGAATAAAACTAAATACTCTGTTTGTAAATGTCTTTCTGTCTCTCTCGTCTCTTCCTTCAAATGACCTTGGCTGTTCCGAGTAAGTCCTTATTAAACTAATAAACATGTTACATTATTTATACAATATCCAGACGTTTGACTTAAACTGATTCTATTTACCGATCCTATATCTTTTCAGTAATCTTATGATGTTATGGACTTTTAATTCAGAAATAATGGAGTTCGGTCAAATTATTTTGTCATCTGAAAAACAGATGTATGATAAACAGAAAATTTTTCTGGTGCTAAACTGTCTAATATATTGTACTGGAGAGTTGGAAGATGGGCTAAAAACATATTGTACTGGACAGTTAGAAGATGAACTAAAGCATATTGTACTGGACAGTTGGAAGTTAAAGGAAAAACGTATTGTACTGGAAAGTTGGAAGTTAAAGGAAAAACATATTGTACTGGAAAGTTGGAAGTTAAAGGAAAAACATATTGTACTGGAAAGTTGGAAGTTAAAGGAAAAACATATTGTACTGGACAGTTAGAAGATGAACTAAAATCATATTGTACTGGACAGTTAGAAGCTGAACTAAAGCATATTGTACTGGACAGTTAGAAGATGAACTAAAATCATATTGTACTGGACAGTTAGAAGATGAACTAAAAGCATATTGTACTGGACAGTTAGAAGATGAACTAAAACATATTGTACTGGACAGTTAGAAGATTAACTAAAATCATATTGTACTGGACAGTTAGAAGATGAACTAAAAGCATATTGTACTGGACAGTTAGAAGATGAACTAAAAGCATATTGTACTGGACAGTTAGAAGATGAACTAAAACATATTGTACTGGACAGTTAGAAGCTGAACTAAAACATATTGTACTGGACAGTTAGAAGCTGAACTAAAACATATTGTACTGGACAGTTAGAAGATGAACTAAAACATATTGTACTGGACAGTTAGAAGATGAACTAAAATCATATTGTACTGGACAGTTAGAAGATGAACTAAAATCATATTGTACTGGACAGTTAGAAGATGAACTAAAAGCATATTGTACTGGACAGTTAGAAGATGAACTAAAACATATTGTACTGGACAGTTAGAAGATGAACTAAAACATATTGTACTGGACAGTTAGAAGTTAAAAGAGAAAGATATTGTATTTAACAGTTTGAAGATAAGCTAAAAATATTTATTGTACTATACAGAATATACATATTGTACGTTATTCTCTTTATGGTTAACTTTCGAAATGAAAAAAATAAAATGTTATGTTGGAACATGTCTTTGTTGTCAGGACACTATGCGTCAGCTAGTAAAGTCTATACAAGCAATAGTCAAGATAAACATTCTTTTATTTAAATATCACGTTCATGTTAATTGTATTTGTGATCGATCGGAAGTTAATAACCCCAAGATCATTCTATAATTTACAACTATAATAGAATAAAGTTTCGGAACGGAGGAGGAAACGCTCGACACAGCTGTTAAACATCGGGACAATAGAAGTAATAAGAATTAGAAAAGGTCTTTATTAAAACATTTACTAATCAGCTGAACAGTACTCAGTGCTGATTCAGCTGATTAGCAAATGTCTTGATAAAACTAGGGACTACAGATGTACTGTCCAGATTATAAGTAAATGCCTTTATAAAACTTTTCAAGGTTTAAATGGATATTATTGAAATATAGCCCACCAATAACAATATATTATTGTTGTGTTGTCCTGGTTTCGATTGCCAACAATACACTGCTTTACCACAAAATATCTGAATCTGTGATCAATCTGTTGCTCTGGAAATTTGTTTGTTACATAGATAAATACGACCATTCCATGAAAAAATAACCAAATTCCTTCATAGTTTTTAGTTCAATGTTGTCTAGCCAATAATTAAAAACAATTCACACAAATTATGTTGATCTGACAATTTTAACTGTATACTAGTTAATTTTTTGTTTTAGCTGACGTACCGCTCCAGGCGAGTTCTGCTCAGTAGTATGCATTTTAACGAATATTGAAGCTAAGTTCTGTATGAAAACTTTAAGTAGTGAAAATATACACTGCACATGCATCACTGATAAGATACTCTCTATACTGTAGGGGACAACCAACGGGTTCCACTACGTATCCCGATCATCTCAATATGCTAAACAACTCACTTCAAACCGATTTACAAGCTTTCAATGGGACATACAGGCAGAGTAAACACGTATAGCGGGAACAGCTAAGTGGAAATCAATTTGCCCAGTGACTCAGAATATTCTCATGGCACCAAAATGGCGGCTGGGTCTCGCTATGTTTACTGATCATCACATAGCGTAATTTTTCTCTCGTAGAAAAAGAGGAAGTCGTTGATGTAATTTATAAACCAACAAAGGACATGTTTGTTTGAATACCTTTTTCGTGATGTGTTCAGTAAATATGTTTTGTGTGTTTTTGATTGATCAATATTGTATTTGTACTGTGAAATACAGCAGTTTTTACAAGTGTGTTTTTGTTTATTGTAGAGAATATTTGTTCAATGGATAATAAAAAAAAACGGATGTGTATCCTAGATCTTAACTGACTTCTCCAAACACAACCAATACATTTTATAAAAAAAATTGCAATAAGCTATAGAAAGATAAAAAAAAAACATAGATTTATCACATAACTTCAAAGATGAACTGTCGTGTCGTCAAAATCAACTTTTGTATTTATAACCAATTTACAAATTTATTATGCAAAAAATACAACACCAAGTTTAAACTGGCGCGAACCTAAAAAAATTAAAATCGACCCTGTCTGACTCGGTCTTATAACCTAGCTTTAATGCTCATGTCAGTATAAACCTTGAGAAAGTCATACGATCAAGGACGAAAGCGGAGAACAGCTGGGTAGCGTGTTAAAGAATGTGGTCAGTGCAAATTTATAATTAACGGCTTGTAATAAGTCGTTTCGTTAGCAGATTATGTAAAATTTTGTAGGATATTATAGAAAGATAACGGACTGACGATACAATAGTAAAATAATATCGGACAGACAATAGAAAAGTAGAATAAAAACGGACAGACAATAGAAAAGTGGAATGGTAACGGATAGACAATAGAAAAGTAGAATAAAAACGGACAGACGATAGAAAAGTAGAATAATAACAGACAGACGATAAAATAGTAAAATAATATCGGACAGACAATAGAAAAGTAGAATAAAAACGGACAGACGATAGAAAAGTAGAATGGTAACGGACAGACGATAAAGAATAAAGAGTAATAGACAGACGATAGGAAAGAAAAATGGTAAAGAAACGACAACAGAAAAGTAAAATGGTAATGGACTAAGGACGGAAAAATAGACCTGTAACAAACAGACGATAGAAGAGTAGAATGATGAGGGACAGACTTTGAAATCGTTAAATGGTAACGGACAGACGATAAAAAAATAGAATGGTAACGGATTTACGATATAAAAGTAGACTAGTAACGGACAGTGGAATGATAGTGGACAGACAATAGAAAAGTGGAATGATAGCGGACAGACAATTGAAAAATGTAATGATAGCGGACAGACAATAGAAAAGAATGATGAGAGACAGACTTTGAAATCGTTAAATGGTAACGGACAAACAATCGAAAAAAGAATGAAAACGAGCAGACATCGGAAAAGTAAAATGGGAACGGACATACTTTAGAAAAGTAAAATGGTGATGGACAGACGATAGAAAAGTAGAATGGTAACGGACAGACATCAGAAAAGTAAAATGGTAATGGACAGACGATAGAAAAGTAGGCTAGCAACCTACAGACGATAGAAAAGAAAAATGATAACGGACAACCAAAGAAAAATGTAAAATGGTAAAGGACAGACGACAGGAAAGTAAAATGGTACCGGACAGACGATAGAAAAAATAGAGCAGTACCGGACAGGCGATAGGAAAATAGAATGGTAACGAACAGACGATAGAAATGTATAATAATATCGGACAGACGTTAGATAAAAAAAACGGACGTACGATAGCAGTAAAAATGGTAACGTACAGACAATATAACACTAGAATAGTGACGGAGAGACGATAGAAATGTAGAATAATAACAGACAGAGAATAGAAAAATATAATGTAACGGGCAGACAATAGAAACTAGAGTAATGACGGAGAGACGATAGAAATGTAGAATAATAACAGACAGAGAATAGAAAACTAGGGTAGTGACGGAGAGGCGATAGAAATGTAGAATAATAACAGACAGAGAATAGAAAACTAGGGTAGTGACGGAGAGGCGATAGAAATGTAGAATAATAACAGACAGACAATAGAAACTAGAGTAGTGACGGAGAGGCGATAGAAATGTAGAATAATAACAGACAGAGAATAGAAAAATATAATGTAACGGACAGACAATAGAAACTAGAGTAATGACGGAGAGACGATAGAAAACTAGAGTAGTGACGGAGAGACGATAGAAACTAGAGTAGTGACGGAGAGACGATAGAAATGTAGAATAATAACAGACAGAGAATAGAAAAATGTAATGTAACGGACAGACAATAGAAACTAGAGTAGTGACGGAGAGACGATAGAAAACTAGAGTAGTGACGGAGAGACGATAGAAATGTAGAATAATAACAGACAGAGAATAGAAAAATATAATGTAACGGACAGACAATAGAAACTAGAGTAGTGACGGAGAGGCGATAGAAATGTAGAATAATAACAGACAGAGAATAGAAAACTAAAGTAGTGACGTAGAGACAATAGAAACTAGAGTAATGACGGAGAGACGATAGAAATGTAGAATAATAACAGACAGAGAATAGAAAACTAGAGTAGTGACGGAGAGACAATAGAAACTAGAGCAATGACGGAGAGACGATAGAAATGTAGAATAATAACAGACAGAGAATAGAAAACTAGGGTAGTGACGGAGAGGCGATAGAAATGTAGAATAATAACAGACAGAGAATAGAAACTAGAGTAGTGACGGAGAGACGATAGAAACTAGAGTAGTGACGGAGAGACGATAGAAATGTAGAATAATAACAGACAGAGAATAGAAAAATATAATGTAACGGACAGACAATAGAAACTAGAGTAATGACGGAGAGACGATAGAAATGTAGAATAATAACAGAGAATAGAAAACTAGAGTAGTGACGGAGAGACGATAGAAACTAGAGTGGTGACGGACAGACGATAGAAACTAGAGTAATGACGGAGAGACGATAGAAATGTAGAATAATAACAGACAGAGAATAGAAAAATATAATATTACGGACAGACAATAGAAAAGGAGAATAATAACGGACAGACGATGGGAAAGTAGAATGGAAACAAGGAGACGGTAGAAAAGTAGATGACGAGGATAGTAGAAGCGTATAGTAGACTAGTGTCGATCATACACAGAAAAACGTCAGTGTAGTAACGAGCAGATCTGAAGTACGTACTGTAATGAGCAAATGAAGAGAAAGTCGAATGGTCAAGTAATTGGAAATGAAGCGAAAGTTGAATGGTCAAGACCAGTAATTGAAAATGAAGAGAAAGTCGAATGGGCAAGTA